CGTTTTGCTGTAAAGTTTCAAACGTCCTATAAATATATTGCAACATTTTTGGATATACTATTAAGACATAAAATTTAAATCCTATAAAATATGCTATCAAGACATGCGCAAATTACATCAAAAAGTAATGTACTTTAACTCGATTCCTATTTTTGGTAACGTGCTTTCAAAACTTCCATTTTGGTACCTAAGATGTAAAGTTTTAAACATTTAAGTACCCGGGTAATTGATTGAAGTATCAACCGGTTATCATATTAATGTGGCGAGTGATGTGGTACCCGGTTAATGTTTCAGTAAATAATACTGAGTTGGATACCACATTACTCGTCACATCAACATGATAACCGGTTTATACTTCAACCAGTTATCCAAGTACTTAAATGTTTAAAACTTTTCATTTAACCATTGAAATCCAAGAGAATAAACCAAAAATAATTTGTTTGTTGATTTGAATTTGATTTGTGGGGTTTTTGCAGGAACTGAAAGATTTGTGTTCACAGCTTCATGCAGCAGCAGAATACTGTGAATCCACTTTTTTGAAAGCCAATCACAAGCATTTGTCGGTTTTTTATTTTATTTTCAATATTTATTTAAATTTTTAATATTAAATCTTTTTTATTTCGTTAGAGATTCGAAAAAAATATATATCATACTCGAAACTCGTAATCGATTTTTTTTGAAAAAAAGACCATATTACCCTTTCGAACGTTCAACCCTTTAATGCTTTTACTGGTCCCGTTTACGTGCAGAGTTGTGGAGAACACTAAGAAGTATGTGTGCAGTGCGGTCGTTGCAGTGGTGGATCATCTTGGCAGTGTTTCAGCAAATCTTGATTATCATATTTCGGAAATCGACACAACCGTACAAACCGCAGTCAGAATTGATTTCTTGAAACAGGTTCGTCGTTTTCCAGTGAAGAGGAATTTTGAATTACAGTATTTGACTTATTGGTGTTGTATAAATAAAAAGAAAATATTATGTTTAACAGTTGTTACTTTTATGGAGTGTTTGGTTCAGTCAGATGAATGAAAATGAGAATGAATTTCCATTACCACCAGTTTAATCTGGAATCAAAATTTGGGCTTCTGGAGGAATGAGCCTATTATGTTATATAAAACTAGACAGTTTCTTTTATTTTCATTCTCATTGATTAGTGCCTAATATCTATAACCAAACACCCCATTAGTGTAAATGACTTTTTAAACCTCGATGTTTAGCTTTTTGCTGTAATTGAAATATCGCTTTTTAAGAACATAAAAAAAGACATCCACTTTGTAAGAGCGAACAACTTTAGACAGAAAATGCCAAATATACAGTATTTTCATTATAACGATAGTTAATTTGCATTAAAAAAATACTGTTGTTCAAAAAGTCAATCTATTGACTTTTTAATACTGTTGTTCAAAAAGTCAATGAAAAGCTAATGATACATATTTTTGTGTATTTATATACAAACAGAAACTTTTTACATGCCAAGAATATTCCGACAGACTTGCTCTGGCTAAACTGAACTGGAGGGTAGATACACCGCGATATAATTCCCGTTATTTAAAACCATGTAAGGTTTTACCACGTCTGTTCCATTTTATTTGTCAATTTTACTGTATTTAACATATTTTTTCACCAGCTGTTCCAGACGTTTTGAGTCGAAATATCAGTTTAAGGTAATGAATGTTTTCTTCATTTACCATCATGATGCAACTTATTGTTCAATTAGCTGATACTTTCTTCATCTGGTTTTAACTATTTCAAAAGGGATTCAGGGGGCGATATTATTGCAAACACATATAACATTAAGCAAGGATTCAAATTAGACGAAGAAATTCCGCTACTGTTTTACACTTGTATTTACAAATCATCACCATCTCGATTTGGGAGATCAGTATCCGAAAAGGATGAAGAAACGTCTGATTCATCGTCATTTTCAGGTAGCAATCTAAAAATGCGAATGCATATAGATTTTGTGGTACTGTTTAATTTGTTTATTGTGTTATTACAGGTTTGCCGATCAGTGGTCGCTTATCTGTCTCAACAAAACCTCAAGCCTTGTCAGTTCAGTTACAGGTTATCTGTGTTCCTTTCGTATTTTTATTGCCTTATTTAAATTGCATCTGTAACCAGTAAATGTAACGTCAAAACTACAATAACAAGACGAAGCCTTGAATCATTGATCTAATTCTTAACAGGACAAGCATAAGCATAAACGTGGTACGTTGTTTAGGAAATCGATGACGAGTGGCGAGATCTTATCATTCATTCGCAGAAGAAAGTGATTCTGATACCAGACGTTAGTTATGCAAGATTCAGTATCAGTATGATGACTAACAAACGTATCAGTATTTGAAATGTCTTAACCTCATATGATACAGTATATTTACAGGTTTCAAACTGTTATTAAATTATGAAAGTGATAAGATAATTCAATGTTTATTGTTCAGTATTATCCAACAACATTTTGTTTATATAATTTACAAGGGTAAAATGGTAATTTTATTATTATTAAGATGTTTCATGTACAATACTTACCCGTTAAGATTTCTGTTGGAATTGAATATAATTTATTTTAGAGATTTTGATTTTTGGTTCTCTATTGTAGAAAAATTATAAAGAATTTGTTAGAAATGTTCTTAAAGGACATTTACAGAGAATCTATCTGAAAATATTATAAAGAACCCCGGCCGCCCGTTTTTAGCGGGGAATCCCCTTCCTCGTTCCGATCGGGTGAACCGGGTTCCCCACCGGGTCGGGGCAAATCACCATCCCTGGTCGGGGATGGGGGGCTTAAACGGGTATCGGGGACAGAAGATGTGGTACGTTGCTTAGGAAATCGATGACAAGCAACGAGAACTTACCATTCATTTCAAGAAGACAATATTAGTTGATATGCAAAATTCGATATCGATGTAATGACCGAAAATCATATCAGTTTTTTTTATTTTTTAAAGTTTCATATTATTATTAAGTTATTATTATTATTATGTGTTGACATTTTTACTAAAATAATTTAACATGAAAAAGCGATTTGTTTTTATTGACTAGAAGGGTACTCGTGTAATGCAGCGAAATACATTTCGATTTTAATGTTTCGTTTTATTTTGTTCTTTGTCGATGTTATAATACGGTTTTATGTGGTTTTTGAGAAAAACGATAATGTTTTTATTTTTGAATAAAATATAAATTTAAAATTATCTTAACATTTTTAAAAAAATATATCGATATTAGTATCAAATTAACTATTTAAAAGTTCTTGTTTTGTTTTGTAATTTCTTTAATTCAATTTCTTTATTTGTATAATTTAATTTAGGTTTAATAACGAAGTACTTTATTTTTTATTTTAATAATATAATTTTTTACAATGATAATAATTAAATATTATGTTAGAACACAGTGATTATCTTAATCATATTTAGATTTTTTTATATTTAAAATAAAATGTTTATCAAATATTTGATCATGTTTATCTACAATTAGTTACACGTATTCAAGTATTGAGCTTTAATAAGTTGTACTTATGCATTATTACAATCTAGAATTTTAAGTAATATATATCAATAAACATTATTTAATATATAAAAAATAATTTTTAGGAGTTTATGTTAAATGTTTTATAATATAGTATAGATGTAAATATGTTGGACTTTATTTAGTAAAATGGGTGATTTAAATGGTCCATAGTTCGGGATTGGGCTTGGGCTCTAATTTCTTGGATTCTACTAATTTAAATGGGCCCATGGATTGGGCTTGGACTATAAATACCTCATTGTTATTCTACATAATCAAATTTGGGAAATGGTATAATTAATTGTGTGAGACCAGGGTAGTGATGACCAAAAAACTGGTCCTTAATCGGTCTCAAGCTTTCTCATAATCGGTCCCGGTCGAAAATGATAGGACCAGTCAAGTTACTTCATAACCGGTTATGGGCCGCCGGTCCCGATATTAAAAAATAAGATTTTTTTAAATTTTTTTAATGATATATATTTTTAATACATTATAAAATTTACAATTGGGACACTCAAATATACTTTAACAATGCGTTGTAACATAATTAAAATTACACTGTCTTATAAAAATACATTATAAAATTATTTAAAATACATTTATTTATAAAATTACTTGAATTTTCGGGCTGGGCCGATCCATAGTCGGTCCCATAACCGATCCCGGTCCCACGAAACTACCAAAAACCCCCAACCGGTCCCGGTTTTCGATCCGATAACCGGTCCTTACCGGTCCCGGACCGGGCCACTCCTTTGCCAGTCCCGATCCTCCGGCGGTCCCGGGGCGAGCCAGGCTAATTTGGCCATCAATAGACCATGGTGACAATTTTATATCAACCCAAACCAATCAACCAACATGTATACAAACAGTACCTATTAAGTCGGTACTGATTCAATTTTACAAACTACAGTCGGTTGATAGTACCGTACCAAGTATACAAACTTGGTTGGTACACGACATTAGAAGTCGCTTACCACGGTAGTACCATGGTGCCGACTTATCTGATTAGTTATTAGTTTTTTGTATTAAATATTAATGTTTGCAATTTCATTATTTGCAATGAAAAACCCTTAAACTTCACATCACATGTGCTATTTGAAAAATAAAACATCACTTAAAATTTGAACAAAATTACAATTTTCATACATGTAACTTGAAGTTGGTACAAAATCAGTATCAACCGAAAAATATTGGTACCCATTAAATTGGTTGGTACATGGTATAGGATTTTGCATACCAATTATAACTGATTGGTATACAGCATTGTAGAACAAAACCTGATACCATACAGAAGTCCACCTCTGTGAACATCAAATTTGGTATAACATTATTTATTTACATCAGTTTTTTGTTAAACAAAAATTGGTGTAAAAATATGCATAGCATCTTTTGTTTTGTGTAAAAAACGATAAATTACTGTTCGCAATGAAAATCAGCTATTTTATTACAGGTGATATCTCCATTAAGTACTTACTCGTTTAGTTTAGAATAAATAGTTGTTTGTTCTGGTTATTGACGACCCCTTCTCGTGGCGAGTTGGTTATCAAACTTTAGTTTGTGATTCCAACGTCACGTGATCGAGTCATCTCGTCATCAGTACCATGAAATAGGTATTCTAAAATACCTTCTTTTTGCGTTGTTGGTTTTCAAGGTTTTCGGTACTTGTTTGGAGGCATTGTGTGAGGAATTTATGAGTAAGATCTTCATCATGGTGACGATGTCAGATTTCCGTCCATACGACAACAAAATTTCTCTTCGGAGTCGAAGAAAGCATTCTCTGATCTTTTTATGGAAAAATAAATAAATAAATGTTGAGAGTGGGATTTGAACCCACGCCCTTTCGGACCAGAACCTTAATCTGGCGCCTTAGACCAACTCGGCCATCTCAACATGTTGGGACCATGTTTATAAATTAAATATCAAAAGTGATCAAATGGTTAAAAAAAATAGAATAATCATATTTAACATATTAATATCGAATATTTTAGAGATCTGAAAGAAGAATAAACAGTTGACGTGTCAATCCAACCTAGTTGTTCTGACTCGTTCTAAAATTTCCAGTCTGACCCAATAATTTTGACGATAACAAGAAAACGAAAAGATATGAAACATCTCAGACTAACAATACCAGATTTTGTACGTTTAAAAACGCATCTGATGGAGGAGGTATCCGGTTCTTATATGATGATCTTTGTTCCCTTCCCCACCTACGTTGGTTCTTACAATCCACCCCCTTGGGAGCCAAACGCCCTCATTGGCACACCAGTCTAATTCTCGGCTCTCGTCATCTCTAACATCTTAGGGGTTGTTTGTTTACCTCTTAATAGTTTCATTAAGAGGCAATCTCTGAATCGTTAAGAGGTAAATCTTGTTTGGCAAAAAAAATCCGTCTTTTAATGGTTCTAAAACCCTCCGAATGATTTTGTATCATGTAACTCTCTTAACCATTAAGAGCCCTGATTTCATTGTACACAATTACCAAATAATTATATTTCATTTTGCACTATATCATGAGAGTCTCTTAATCATTTTGACCACCTAATTATTCTGCACCAAACCATTCAGCAATTGCCAAACAGCCTCTTAGGCTAATCGTACCAGATGTTGTCTATACCTGGGCTTACGGTTTTAAAACGTTTATGATAAATGAGGCATTCAGTCCCTTATAAGGTAACATTTGTTCCCCTCCCCAACTAATATGAGACCTTACAATAATGATTTCATTAAAATTACAGATAAATAATTTATATTCAAAAACAACATTAATTCTTGAAATAAACTTTAGTACATAAACTTGTTCGTGACACGACCACTACCACTCTTCAAGGCTAAGGATGGTGATTTGCCTCGATCCGGTGGGAAACCCGTGTCACCCGACCCAAACGGGGACGAGGATTTCCGGCTAAAACGGGTCCTGGGACCGGGGATCCCCAGTAGACTCAAACCGGGGTTGGGGCCGGGGACGGAGTATTGTACCCCCCACCTGCTCCATACCCGGTATACAAATATTCATTTAATAATATTTGGGCTTTGGAAATTCTTGTAGTGGGCCTCTGTTGCTGACTTGCTATTGGACTTCAAATAATAAGAAATTGAAAGGAACTTTAGTTGTCTCTTAAAAGTTTACTAAAAGGTTATTTATACTATATTATAAAGCATTTGATAAAAACTCTTAAAAACAATTTTTATGCATGAAGTACTATTTATTGATACACATTACTTAAAATTCAAGATTACAAACAAATTGTACATAAGTACAACTTATTAAAGCTCCATATTTGAATTTGTGTAACTAACTGCAGATAAACATAATCAAATACATGATAAACATCTCATTTTAAAATATAAAAATATAAAGTATAATAAGGATAATCATTGAGTTCTAACAAGAATGTTTAATTATTATCTTTATAAAAGTTTATATTATTAAACCAAAAATAAATTAGTTTGTTATTAATCTTAAATTAAATTACAATAAAAAAGTTGAATTACAGAAATTACACAAAAGAACGAAAGCTTTTAAATAGTTAGTTTGATATTAATTTTGATATATATTTTTTTCAAATTTTTATGATATTTTAAAATATTTATTTTATTCAAAAATAAAAAATGTTATCATTTTTTCAAAAACCACATAAAACCGTATTATAAAATCGATGAAGACAGAGAATAAAACAAAACATTAAAATCAAGATGTATCTCGCTGCATTACACAAGTACCTTTTCTAGTAACCTTTTAGTGTGTTTTTGTTGTGCTTTTTTATTTAACTTGCAATTTCGCAATTTGTCTAAATTGCTCATTTTTGCTAGATGTAGTATCCTTATTTATTTTTGCAAGAACGTTTATTTGAAAGATCACTTCAAGATATGTCCTAGTTGGGGATCGGGGCTTGACCAGGGTTTGACCAGGAATTAAACCGGGGATGGGATGTTAATTCTCGTACCCGTCGGGGATTGGGGCCGGGGACTGTTACTAAAAACCGGGGCCCAGGGATTTCA